CTCATTCTAAGTCTTCTTTTTAAATCCTGCCATAAATTTTCAATAGGATTGAGGTCTGGACTTTGAGCAGGCCAAGGAAGAACCATAATATGATTTTCCTCTTTCCATCGATTTGCTACAGCTGCTTTATGACATGGTGCATTATCTTCTTGAAAAGTAAACACACGACTACAACCATGACTATCATCATCACCACTATCACCATCGTCACCACCATCACCACTACGATTCTCCTCTCTTAATTCATTAATATAAGGTAGTAAATTTTCTGCAAGAAGTTTATTATAACCAATTGCATTTAATTTACCTTCAACTAATACTAATGGACCCATTTTTTCTCTTGTAAAACATCCCCAAACCATAATTCCATCAGATTTTTTTACTGTTGGACTTAAATTTTCTTTATTATATTTTTCTCCTGGCTTCCTCCAGACCCAATCATTTGAATCGTTTTGAAACAACTCAAATCTACTTTCATCACTAAATATTATTTTATCCCATTCATTACGACTCCAATTTTTTCTTGCATGGCACCAGTATAACCTTTTTTTCCTATTTACATCAGAAACAAGAGGTTTTTTGACAGCTTTTCTTCCATAAACATTTTTAGAATGTAATGTTCGTCTGATAGTTTTCTCACTTGTTACAATGTTTAATTCTTCAAGACTCTTGACTAATTTAAGAGCAGTTGTTTTAGTATCCTTTTTTACTGCTTTCATAAGTTGTCTTTCATCACGCTCTGATAACTTTTTAGGTCTGCCAGGTCTAAGAACTGCAGTTGTTTTATTTTTTGAAAAATAATCATTGGCAACCTTTTCAACTGCACTTTTGGATCTATTTAATATACGAGCTATTTCTCTATAAGAAAAATTGGCTTTTTTTAAACCAACGATTTCTCCACATTCAAATTCGGATAATTGAGTAGCTTTGGGCATTTTAAGTTTTCTTTAAAAAAAATGAAATGGTTAAAGTTTACTTTAAATGAATTATCTAATTTGGGATTTTTTTAAAAGATCTTCAAAATTAACTCGTTTGAGAATTTTGTATGACATCTTGGCAATTAATTTACCAAATGATCTAGAACTTTGGATATAACTAGATTCAAACATAAGACGCATTTTTCACTTATACCGCAAAGGTCGTTAGAACTTGACATTGTGGTCAATTTTCGAGTTAAAGATTTTTTTGAAAATTCCGAAAAATTCATTTTTATTTTTTAAGGTTTGTAAAACAACAAGTTGTTGTTTATATGCAGCGAAACTTCAGTATGTTATACTATTTGATATGAAGATGAATTTTTACTTAATAAGCAAATGCGGTTAGGTTAATAAAATTTTTATTTTTTTTCATGTTTCTTTATTCAATTATTTCCGATGATCTGCAAGTGTCCTTATATTTATGACCAGGAAGTGTATATGGGACATGGACAATAGAAAGGGAGTAACTACCAAATTTGTGATTTTGAGTTAACACTACTTCTACATGCAATTCACTACAGGGATTAATTTTATCTTAGAAACCATACCCACCTTAATAAAATTTAGAGATGCCTTCCATTAAAGTTTTAAAGACAATAGTAAATTACTTGAAAATGCAGATCATTTATATTATAGAAGAATAGATGATGGACTGGGTAAGCCCCAGGATACAGTAATAGTATTTTTGTATTAAAAAAAGGTTTGAACTGTTACTTGCCACTCTAGTTATTATCATTATAGACAAAAAATTTTGTGCTATGAATATTCATATTATAGTATAACATAACTTGATATAATATTGAATATAACATAATATATAAGTATTATTAAAAAATCCAGAATTCATAATATGAAATTTGCATGCATAAGAAACATGAGCAACGAAAATATTATTATTATTTTTAGAATAAAATCATTATACAACAAATCATAAAGATTATAATTGAATCTTGTCAAATAAAATAGCAAAAGAATAAAAAGGACATGATAATTATTATTACCTCATTTTTTTTAAATCCAATCAAATATAAATATTAAGGTTAACTATTCTAAATAAATGAAAATAGAACAATTTGATTCTATACATTATTTTTTTCTTTTTTTAGTGTTGAGTAGCAGTCAGGAATATGAAATTCTTGAATGTTTATTTTTTTATCTTTCCATTGATCCAAACTTGAATCTTGATCAAAATCATCCTTCCCATTAACAATTTTCATGGTTTTAAGTATTTCAAACTATGGTAAAATAAAAACAATCAATTGGCAAAAATTTGAAATTTTTAAAATAACAAGGTTAGACCTTACCTTTGCATATAATATATAAACCAATATATCTAATGTATGATTGAAATTTTTTACATCAGCAAACACTTCACAAGCTTCATGTGTGACATACCAACAAGCATATCCTTTGGGGCAGTCTAAATTCACTTTCATTAATACTGCACCTACAAAAACATTGAATGTTAATAGTTTAGATCAAATCTCATCATGGAAAAAGTAATCAGTAACATACTAACCTGAATGGAGGAAACCAGTTACATTTAATTGGTGTACCTTCTCTTGATTCCAATTAATTTTCCTTGCCAATTCTATAAAATATCTTTCAAGGTTTTTGGAAGATTAAAACCTCCCTCTTTTAAAATTTTAGTGCCTGTCTCCCCCTCCCACACATGTCCCACCTCGGAAGCTGCCCAATCTACTTTCTTTGACCCAAAGGATCTTACATAACCATCACCTTTCTTTCCTATTAATTGCCTTGGAATCTTTGTGAAGTTGCTTAATCCCCTGTTCCGATTTCTTCTCTCTGTGGATGCAATACATGCCTTTTCTCCTCTACATTATCATTTCAGATAAAAGACAATTGTAAACATTAAGCATTAAGTAGGAAGTAGTTATAATTGTTTAGTTTTACTTGCCCAATAAAGAAAACATAAGGAATATCTGTAAATGCAATATCAATTGTGTGCCATATATTGATTCTATACCAACTTTCTGGCATGACTTGACACAAAGGATTTGGTTTCATTTCTAATACCCAGACCCTGCATGTAATCAAAAAAGTTGGTTACATCAGGAAATTTTCCCTGTCGCAATATTACGTACATAAATTTTAATATGTAAAGTTGTAATATTTGCATAAAAATTATTTAATATTTACACTCGATGTAATAATTGCATAATATTACAGGCCCACCATAATCTTACATAAATAGTGTAATGATTATGTAAATCTGCATCAGAAAAATTTCCTGATGTACAAAGAATTCATCAATTTGAGACTTTACAGGAAAAGACTCATAGATTAAAAATTTATGATCAATTCACCCACCAGTCAAATACTGTTGTTTGTATATGATCATATTTGAAATGAAGTTCTGGATCATAGTCTTTACCTAATCTAGGGTCTGGCATATTTAATGCTTCTCTGATGTCACTGGTAGAATCCTTCATTAAAGGAAAAAAGAATTATTGTTAAATTATTAAATAAAATAAGGATAGAAATAACAACATCTAGTAATTTTCTTACTTTAGAAAACATATATATATAGTTTAACAAGTCATCTATATTTTCATTTGTTTCTTTATCAATGTTTGCTCCATAAGGAGCGGTGATGATCTCTTTTAATTCACTTTCTGTAAATAAAGATTTTACAAAAATATCTCTAGGATTTATTACAAATGAATGTACAAGGCTAAAATATGTTAGTCAATAATTAAATATGAATTTTCTAAATACAAAATTAGTGGTAAGTAAAATATAACTCTTACTTTTCATATTTGCACTTTTGACCTAATTCATATAAAAGATTTTCAACCAATCTTCCTGATTGAAGTTTCCATTTTTGTTCATCACTCATCTTACAAAATCTACAGTGGACCCTCCCTAAGTGCACCCTCCCTAAATGCACACACTATGTATACCCTCCATAAATGCATACCCTCCATAAATGCACACTCACAAGAAATAGCACTATATTCCTGAGGGGGGTGCACTTATAGAGGGTTCACTGTATCTGTAAATAAATTTAAATCTTCAGCAGTAAATTCATCATCTGTAGCTATTGTTGAGTCAGTGGTTGGATTTAAGGTTTCTGGTCCAAACTGTTTTCTCAAAGCCCAAACTAGTTTGGGCAATTTGGGCTTCTCAACATTTTCTA